GTATGTCACCCTAATACTAGAAGGAGCATAACAGTCGGGCGATTTACAGGCACTCTCTCTCTGTACAGTGAGCGCACCACGTGCGGACATGATAGGAGTTTTTACGACTTCGTATTTCTCCACGCTAGGGATGGTTAAGGTTAGGGAACATTGATGCTCCAGTGATTGCGAAATATGAAATGATCCTCCTTCGGGATGTCGAATCGGTGAAGCGGAGCGGTAATGGCACGCGATCCGATAGCCTTAGCTTCTAAAACGGAAGTGGTTTCCTATAGTTTTCACAATATTAAAACAGCCTTACTCAAAAGAAGGTTCTTCTTCTTTCTGAAATGCAGCATAAATTATCCAAAAGTAATCACGTCGATTTCACTAACTGCAGTCCATCCATCTTTAAAAAATGTCGTGATTGTTGTTTCAGTGGGACAGCCTTTGGAACCAGTGCTGCTTGAGAACGAATTATTTCTATGTTGTACAGTTCGAAGAAAACTACTGGTTTCGGGGAGTTCTGTTAGCCCAATACCAAGCATTACGGGAGCTCAGTGGTTCATTGTTCCCAGGCGAAGGTAAGCATGCTTTTTAGGCGACATCATTTCAATTTAAACCCTTATTTGTCGTGCTCTTCCAGAGCCTTTCATAAAAGCAGAAATTCCTTTTGCATTCAAGTGTGGAATGCAGTCAATTAAATTACAGTTTCTCTTATTATGAGGAGTGTCCCTATCAAGACTTTGAGATTCGCTAAACGTTTATTCAAACGAATGCTTCCATCACCATAAACCTGTGACTTTTCGCTGCCTCAGTTCGCATAAAAGCCACTTCTTTTGTTGCTGTCAGTTCCACCATCAGTTGTTCTTGGAAAATGTTTCAGCATCGGTCTAATTATTAACAGCTTTCTTCTTACTTTAGTGACCATTTTCTTCTGTTTGAGGTTCCCCTGAATTGAATGTTGACTTCGAGCACTGACTCAGTGTGTCACTTCTTTTGCATCCATCTAAGTGAAAAGTAAATTAAGATTATTAAAAGAATCTCTTGGGTCTTATTCACAAGCGCACTCACTTTCCTAGATGGCGAAAACCGAAAAAAAATTCGAACAGTAGTCTTTTCGTATGTTTACCTTTCTTGTGTGGAAACATTCATTTTTTCAGGCAATGCACTTTGTGAATGCTGGTAGACACTCAAACCTTGACGCCAACTACTCATCACAATTAATTCACGAATCTATTGCAATGTGCAGCAAGTTTGTGTTTTGTAGGCCTGTATGAAAGCATGTCATGCACCACTGCACACGTTTGGTGCCCTGGCCGTCCTCAGGGACTTTACATCACACATTCATGTGTGTAAGACAAAAAGCGTGTAAGTAGCATAGGCCACAAGTTGAACCACCCTTCCATTCCCGATGGGGTGCTACTTCAGAGGTGCATTCTTTTCGGCAAACGCGGGCTTAAGGAGACATCCTGCAGGCGGTGGGGAGTGCATTTTCATGCAGCAAATTACGATATGCTTCATTCACACCACAGACATTATTAAAGGATTAACGCACAAGTAATCAAAGTGGCCAGCACCTTTTAAAATGCTGCCCCATTTTCGTAGGATAGCTACCGGTCGACCTTAGGAGTTGCGATACATGTTACTGTACTCAGCGAATGTCTAAGGCGTTCTCGTTTGTTAATGCTATCGCCTTGATACTGATAAAATCGTGATCTACGGACAGGCTGTCAACGATAATTTATTCACTTTCATAACCAAGTTCAGTATGAAAGCTTCAATGGATTTGTGGTGAAGGAAGGGGCAACGAGTTTGGCTTTTACACCGAAATTTTATGCTGTTATTAGACTATTTTGCGCATTTACCATTTTAGCATTAAAGTTCTCGAAAAATTCCTGGTTGACAGTAATCTTGGCTTTGCTTCCGTTACACCGATGGACAATTTATCACGTAAGGTAACGGAGGGCAATTACGAGAAAGAAAGTGAGAAGTCTCTCAACATCCCCGATGCTATTGGATCACTCATCAGTCGTCGAATGACTCTGAATTTTCGAAGTCCGGAACTCAGCATCACCTCCTCACAGAGCTACGTCAGCCGCAGTCTCGGTCGACTGATGCAACGCACCGTGTCTGCTCAGAGCAAGATCCACTCTGTTACCGCTACCATCGGTGATTCCATAGGTGAGGGGCGCAGGCACCTCTCCGTAGGCTGCAGTGAGGAGCTCTTTTCTGATCATGCGGCAATCTACGCAAATCCTGACACGGAATATATTGATGAAGGATGCGGCAGCATTAG